GGTGGCTGGGTGATAGACATTGGGGAGGGTATGTGCTACGGTGAGCGCTGTGAATTGTGCAAGACTGTTGAATCACAGATCTGTACTTCTGAAACAAATAACGCAACATATTTTAAGAAAAAAGAAAAAGAAGAAGATAACAGGAGAGGAAGAAAAGGGGAGTATGTCAGAGGGGGAGACGAACCATGAGAGATGATGGACTCTGAAAAACAAACTGAGGGTTCTAGAGGGGAGGGGGGGAGGGGGATGGGTTATCCTGGTGATGGGTATTGAGGAGGGCACGTTCTGCATGGAGCACTGGGTGTTATGAACAAACAATGAATCATGGAACACTGCACCAAAAACTAATGATGTAATATATGGTGATTAACATAACAATAAAAAAATTAAAAAAAAAACAAAAACAAAGTAGTAATTAATAACCCAGAGTACTAAATGTAGTGATCGAAAGGGGTATGTGCACCCCAATTTTTATAGCAGCAATGTCCACAATAGCCAAACTATGGAAAGAGCCTTGATGTCCATCAACAGATGAATGGATAAATAAGATGTGGTATATATACACAATGGAATATTATGCAGCCATCAAAAAATGAAACCTTGCCATTTGCAACAACATAGATGGAACTAGAAGGTATTATGCTAAGCGAAATAAGTCAATCAGAGAAAGACAATTATCATATGATCTCACTGATATGTGGAATTTGAGAAACAAGGCAGAGGATCATAGGGGAAGAGAGGAGAAAATGAAAGAAGATGAAACCAGACAGGGAGACAAATCATAAGAGACTCTTAATCTCAGGAAACAAACTGAGGGTTGCTGGAGTGGAGGGGGGGTGGGAGGGATGGGGTGGCTGGGTGATGGACACTGGGGAGGGTATGTGCTATGGTGAGTGCATATGATGTACTGATGAATCACAAACCTGTACCTCTGAAACAAATAATACATTATGTGTTAATTAAAAAAACGAAAGTTAATTAAGAGCAATTGAACTAGACCATAAAAATTAAAACTGCTCCATCAATGGCTAAGGCGTCATAATGCTAACCTAGGAACACCATTCTGACCAGGCCCACCCCTAATGCCGGTGGGGCCCAGGGTGAGAAAAGAAATGAAGGCCTAACCACATGTAGAAACATTTTGAATTAATAAACCAAGTGGACAGACTGTTAAAAAATAAAAAATAAAAAACAAAATAAAACAAAACAAAAAGCCCAGAGTACTTTGTACCAATAATGGTTTATTTAAATATTTGAGAAATATTGGCCTAAGTGTTGATGGGAGTGAAGCATGCTATCTGAAGGTAGTGGTGGTTCTCTCCTTTAAGTAAAAGCATAGTCACAGAAAAATAGGTTAAAGGTGTTATGAATAATTGTGTTTTTCAAAGTTTTTGCTGCAATAGTAAGCTATAATAAAATCTAAAGTCAAGTCCAATAAAATAATTCCTAGTTTTCAAAACTACCAAAGTCCAAAATGGTGTTTTTTGGAGTCCATTGCATCCTAGCTCATCTTGCATGCATAAGAATAAAATTCTGAAGTCTTATAAATAAATTTAGTTTATACAAGTGTCTTTGACAAAATTTCATTTTTTAAAAGAAGAAGGTATATATTTATCATTCAGACCTTGGTTTCTAGATCCAATTCCATGATAAAAGTAATCAGGGCTCTCCAGAGAAATGACTATTTCCATAACAGAGGGTAGAAAAGTATAAAATGAACTTAGAACATATTGTTGTGCAAGAAAGTACATATTGCTTAAATAGTGATGAGCCATCTTAAAAGAACTTGCTAGCCAGTTTGAAGAGATTCCTGCTGGCCAAATCTTTGACAAGTTGTGAATAAAAAGAAATATTTAGAAAAATATTGGGCTGAGGTAGGGAAAATACAAAATGAACCTCAATCATCTTATAGTAACAGAAAACAAGTAAATACACAAAAATGAAACAATGGGAGTTTATCAAAAGACAAATGGAAGTTTATCAAAAGACTCCTATGTCTTTTGTTCAATGGCCAAAGCTGGAACAATTTGAACAAAATAAATAAGTAGTATTGGATTATATCCAAAGTATAAAATAAATTACCATGATTCCATACTTATATAATTAAATGATTGAATAAATAAATGAGAGTGAAGGGACAAATTTCCCTTACTGTTAGATTTCAAAAAACATATGAAGATACTCTTTCCTCCTAGAAATTAAGCTTAATTCCACTTCCCTCTGTCCATTCCCCAAAATCCCTTGCCTTGAGTGTGGTTTGGATTTTTTTTTTTTTTTTTTTTAGAGAGAGTGTGCATGCATGCACACATGTGGGGGTGGGGGTGGGGCAGTGGGCAGAGGGAGAGGGAGAGAGAGAATCTTAAGCTGGGCATGATCACAATCTCAGCAGAAATCAAGAGTTGGACTGTTAATCAACTGAGCCACCCAGGCACCCCGGTTTGGATTTATTGACTTCCAAAGAATACAGTAGAGATAAGGAAAAATTGCAGTGGAAAAATCTGGGAGACGCTAGCTTACCCAAGTGATCGAGGCTAATATCATTAGTAACAAGTCATGTTGTTGACATTTTACCTCTGATATGATGTGATGAAGACACTTCACCTCTATGGTATTCTTCTTCCAAATTCATAACTCCAGTCTAATCATGAGAAAACCATCAGATAAAAACAAATTGGGGGACATTGTAAGAAATATCTGTCTCAAAACCATCAAGGTCATGAAAAACAAAGAAAGATTTAAGAAACTGGCACAGACCAGAGGAGACAAGGAGACATGACAACTATATGCAATCTGTTATCTGGTATCCAGAATTGGATCCTAGAACAGTGAAAAAGTATTAGTGGATAAACTGTTGAAATTTAGTAAAGTCTGGAGTTTGGTTAACACCAATATTCCAATGTCAGTTTTTTGGTTTTAACAAATCTATGATGATAATGTAAGAGTAACATTAGGGGGAACTAGGTGAAGGATATATGGGCACTCTCTGTACTAACTTTGTAATTTATCTGTAAATTTAAAATTACTCCAGGGGCACCTGGCTGTCTGTAGAGCATGCAAATCTTGATCTCAGGGTTGTAAGTTCGAGTCCCACATTGGGTGTGGAGCCTACTGTAAAACAAACAAACAAAAAAATCATTCCAAAATAAAATGTTTTAAAAAAGAAGCAAATATAATTTAATAACAATGTTAACAAAGAGTTGAAAGCAAAGAACTCTAGTATAAGGAGGCTCATAATCTTTTATGCAAGTTCTGGAAAATACACAAAGAAATGTGGAGGTAAGCAAGTTTTTAGAAAGTTGATCACAGCCCCCAGATGATAAGAATTTGAGATCACCGGGGCGCCTGGGTGGCTCAGTCATTAAGTGTCTGCCTTTGGCTCAGGTCATGATCCCAAGGTCCTGGGATCAAGTCCTGGGTTTCCCGGCTCGGTGGAGAGCCTGCTTCTCCGTCTCCCACTCCCCCTGCTTGTGTTCCCTCTCTTGCTGTGTCTCTTTCTCTCTGTCAAATAAATAAATAAAATCTTAAAACAACAACAAAAAAAGAATTGAGATCACCTATTTTCAGACTTTCATATTTAGAGAGTTTGAGAATTTTCCTAAGGTCACCTGGCCAGGCAAGTCATGTGAACAGCTCTTCTGTGATAGCCTCTGCTCTAAGCTCCACGTTTTGATGAAACCATATACTTTCTTGCATGAACTGTCTGACCTCATAGAGCCACATCTTTGCTTTATTTTACCTTTAGTGGGTTCCTATTGTTCTCAGTATAAAATTTAAACCCCTTGGGCGCCTGGGTGGCACAGTCATTAAGTGTCTGCCTTCGGCTCGGGTCATGATCCCAGGGTCCTGGGATCAAGCCCCGCATCGGGCTCCCTGCTCAGCGGGAAGCCTGCTTCTCCCTCTCCCACTCCCCCTGCTTGTGTTCCCTCTCTCGCTGTGTCTCTCTCTGTCAAATAAATAAAATCTTTAAAAAAAATTATAAAATAAAATAAAATAAAATAAAATAAAATTTAAACCCCTGGGGGCCTGGGTGGCTCAGTGGGTTAAGCATCTGCCTTGGGCTCAGGTCATGATCCAGGGGTCCTGGGATCGCCCTGCATCAGGCTCCCCGCTCAGTGGGGAGTCTGCCTCTCTCTCTCTCCCTCTCCCCCCGTTCGTGTTCTCTCTCTCTTGATCTCAAATAAATAAAATAAAAAAATTTAAACCCCTTAATTGTTTGCCAAGGATCTCTAGCCAGGTTCATCTCTTGTCATATCCCCCTTATACTCTACGCTCCAGCCATTCTACCCCTCATGAAATATTTTTCCTCTGACTAGAATATTGTGCCCTTCACTACTGTCCCCATTCTACATGGTTAAATCAGGAATCATCTTTCTCAGGTTTCTGCATAATGGCAATCTTTCAGAGAGGTGAAATGACTACCCTAAGGTAACCACAATAGAACTGGGCCTGCCAAAGAAAGCAGTTCTCTGGCCTTCTGGCCAAATATGCTTGAACAGTTTTCTTTCTCATTAAATTACATTATGAATGGAACTCCAAATAAATACGGGAGAAAAAAGCAGCATTCCACCAATCATACTAACAAATTAAATTTTTTTCAGTTGTCTAAGTGCTTATTCTTATCTATGTGCACAAATAAACTTTACATAGTTATATCATTATGCAGACTGACTTTTATGTTCTGCTTTATTTTTTATTCACATATTGTTAAGCATTTGCCATATTATTACATAGATTAGGTGTTTATTTTTATTATTCCTATTCCTAAATTCCATACATTTATTCATATTTAGAACCTAAAATATTTGGAGTTCTAGGCAAGATGATGTTGTACAGAAGCAGAAATAAATCTTGGCTCTAGAGGAGTTTTTATCTAGTTTACATTAGTCAGAAACTTCGCTTTCTATCTTTTATTAATATTATTATTATTAAATACTATAGTCTATATTAATAAGATAAGATTATCTTGTGTTCAGTAAGTTATACTATGTACCCTTTTTCCAAATAGTCCCATCTATAAATTGCATTTACTCTTATTTTACTTTCTCCTCATAAGCTTTCCCTAATCTCAATTGCTTCCCTGATCTTTTTTTTTTTTAAAGATTTATTTATTTATTTGAGAGAGAGAGAGAGAGAGCACAAGCAGGAAGGGAAGGGAAGAAGAAATCTCAAGCCGACTCCACGCTGAGCACAGAACCTGACGCAGGGCTGGATCTAACATCATGCGCTGAGCCAAAACCAAGAGTCCAACGCTTCATTGACTGAGCCACCAGGTGCCCCTGCTTTCCTTATCTTAAATGCTGAATAGTCACCACAGACTCCCAAAACTTAATCTCTACCCTACACCTCTACTAAAACTTCACAGGATGTTTTGAAAACATCTCAATGCCATATTTCCAAAATAGAACTTCTTATCTGCCTCCACAAATCTTCCCTTATGTTCTAAACTAATAGCATCACTATGTGCCCAATTGCCCAGATAAAAGTTAACATTTATCCTTGAGTCTCTCATTTCTCATCATATCTCTAGCTATTAGATCCCATTGCTTCAACATTTTAAATATCTCAATTTTATCTCTTTTTCATTCTTATTGCTTTTATTTGGGTTCTATTTATCTCTTATCTAGCTTGCAATAGCCTTTTAACTGGTTTCTGTCTTCACTACTGTGATTTTAAAATCTTTCTCCCTCTCTACTAATAAAAATTTTCTTCCTTAAGACCCAAATGTGGTTAAGTGATCTCCCTACTTCTGAACTTGTGATGGCTTGTTCATTATCTAACTCCATCACCATTTACTGAACATCTAATATATACCAGGCATTCTTCTAAGTTCCTTATACATATTATTTCATTTAATCTTTGCTCAAAGTTGCAGCTAGCAAGTGGCAGAGCCAGTAGTTTGACTTAGCATTGGTCCTCTTGTATTACATTACATTACAGCTGTCTTTCAGAAATATAAGAATTCTAAACCTCTTAACATGGCTTATAGTATTCATACCGATTGGGTCCAAATTCCATCCATCATTTACCAAATATATACTAAATACCAAGTACAGTTGAGTATAAACAGAAACTTCTGAGGTGCCTGGGTGGCTCCGTCGGTTAAGTTCTGCCTTCGGCTCAGGTCATGATCTCAGGGATCTGGGATTGAGCCCCACGTCGTCGGGCTCCCTGCTCAGCGGGGAGTCTTCCTCTCCCTCTCACTCCCCCTCTGCTCTCTCCCTCTCTCTCTCTCAAATAAATAAATAAATAAAAATCTTAAAAAAACCCAGAAACTTCCTTCAAAGTGCTTACAGGTTGGTGGAAAATAATATGAGTGCAAAATGTTTCGATTAAGTGGTATAATACAATGAGATAGAAATAGTCCCAAATTCTATGTGAACAGACTAAAAAGCTTCAGCTGGACTAAATTTTCCTCTTTCATACATCTGGTCATTTTTCATGCTGTTCTAGGGTTTGGAATGTCTCCTTCCTTGACTACATGACAACTACAGTGTCTGCAAGGTGCCACTAAATAGTCTTCTGCTCTGTGGAGGCACACTGACTTCTCAGCACAGAATTGGCATTTCTCCTTGGCATATCCATTTTACATGGGGCAAAGTTGTAAAACAGTATGTTCTGTTTGAATTGTATTGCTTATTTATGGAGCTATCCTCTACCCAACCCCCAAACTATAAACAGAGATCAGTCTGATTTTTCTTTATTTTTTTTAAAGATTTTATCAATTTGAAAGAGAGAGTGAGAGAGGGCATGAGCTGGGGGAGAGGCAGATGGAGAGGGAAAGGAGAGGGAGAGGCAGATGGAGCGGCAGACTTTCCTGCTAAGCGGGGAGCCTGATGGAGCGCTTGATCCTGGAACCCCGGGATCATGACCTGAGCTGAAGGCAGACACTTAACACCCAGCAGCCCCAGTCTGATTTTTTATATTCCCTTCTATCACCTAGCATTGGTCATACACTATCAATAATTGCTTAAAACATAAAAGATGTCACCATTTTACTGTTTACCATGTATTTGGCTTTCTTTTAAGTGTTTTAGATAAATCAGATGAATAAATTAATAAAATGAATGAATGAATAAATAACAGAAATACTCTAGAGAGAGGCTGGTTGGTTAAGGCTGTGCTTCACAGATTCCCAGAGTCACTGGTAGGTTCTGCTCTCTTTTATTGTGGTTGGTAGAATTTTATTTATTTATCTTTTAAAGATTTTATTTATTCATTTCAGACACAGAGATACAGAGAGAGAGAGCATGAGCAGGGGAAAAGGCAGAGGGAGAGGGAGAAGCGGGCTCCACGCTGAGCCAGGAGCCTGATGTGGGGCTCAATCCCAGGACCCTGGGATCATGACCAGAGCCGAAGGCAGGTGCTTAACCATCTGAGCCACCCAGGTGCCCCGTCAGTAGAATTTTAATATGACTCTCCTGATGCTTGCTCCCTGGGTACCGATGTTTTTGTGTGGGAAGAATGTGTAACTAGCTTCCAACCAATAGAATAGGGGAAGGTGAAGGAGTTTTGCAGATGTTGTTAAAGTTCCTAATAAATTGATTTCAAGTTACTTAAAAAGGAGATGATCCTGGATGGAACTGACCTAATCAGGTGAGCCCGTTAGAGGAGCATCTAGAAGTCAGAGACCATGATGGTTAATTTTGTTAGCTTGGCTAGTCTATTGTGCCCAGTTGTTTGGTCAGACACTACTACTGTAGATGTTGCTGTGAAGGTATTTTAAAGATGTGATTAACTTTTATATCAGCAGCATTTGTTTTGAGTAAAGTAGATTGCTCTCTCTTTTGTGTTTTTTTCCAATACCACCCAACAATTCTCCAATTCTCAGCAGACACTAACTAGGTGTTCTACAAATTTTAACTCAATTTTGACATTATCAACCTAGAGATAGCATCAGATCCCACAGTTTAAGGGACCAGTCCCATAAGACGTCACCTACCACAGAGGCCAATAGCCAAGTCCAGGTTGTCCTGTGCTTCAGCCCACAAATTGGAGTTTTCCATGACCTCTTCCTTGGGTTTAACTAATTTGCTAGAGCAGCTCACAGAAACATTTACTCATGCTTACCAGTTTATTATAAAGGAAATTATAAATGAGACAGATGAAGTGGTACATAGTGTGAAGTCAGGAAAGATCACCAGCATAGCAGTTTCTGTCCCTAGGGAACTAGGAAGCACCACCCTCCCAATATGTGGACGCATCAACTTATCTCCTGGTTCAAGACTTTTTTGGGTTTTTTTGTTTGTTTGTTTGTTTTTACAGAGCTTTAATTTCCAGCCACTCACCCATTTTCATTACCAGAGGTCAGGGGTGGGGCTGAAAGTTCCAACCCTCTAATCCCTTGGTCTTTCTGGTGACCAGCCTAATCCTGAAGCTATCTGGGGGGCCCCATCCTAAAACACCTCATTGGCATAAACTTAAGAGTGTTCAAAGAGCTTCCATATGATTAACAAAAGACACTTTTATCCCATTTAGGAAATTCCAAAGATGATAGAGAGAGACAGAGACAGATAAAGGAATTGCCTCAAGCAACAGTGAGGGCTGGAAAGTCTGAAATCTGCAGGATAGGCCAGCAGGATGGAAGTTTGCAATAGGTGTTGTGGTCTTGAGTCTAAAGGTGGCTCAGTCGGTTAAGTGTCTGCATTCAGCTCAGGTCATGATCCTAGGGTTCTGGGATCGAGTCCCACATCGGTCTCCCTGCTCTATGGGGAGCCTGCTTCTCCCTCTCCTCCCTGCTTGTGCTCTCTCTCTCTCTCTCTCTCTCTGGCTATTTCTGTCTCAAATAAATAAATAAAATCTTAAAAAAAAATAAAGGTGACCTGATACATATCTTTAAAAAAATAAAGGCCTTATCCATTCCTTCCAGTGGGTATATATTATTCAACTTTATGGATAAGTTTGCTCTAATTACTGCTCTATGAAGGGTTAAGTTAGGCTCTGATTTTTATTCTTTCCTCTTTTATTTTTTGTTCTTAATTGTGACTTTCATTTTCACCAATGAAAAATCCTTATGAACAATCTTGCAACCTTATTGAGTAGATCTGTAAAAAAGAAGTCCTACAATTTGAATTGCTGGCTTAAACAGTATGATTAACTTAAACATTGATATCATTTAAAAATGTCTCCATGGCGGGGTACCTGGGTGGCTCAGTCGTTAAGTATCTTCCTCCTGCTCAGGTCACGATCCTAGGGTCCTGGGATTGATTCCCGCATCAGGGGTGGAGAGACTGCTTCTCCCTGTCCCACTCCCCCTGCTTGTGTTCCCTCTCTTGCTGTCTCTCTCTGTCAAATAAATAAAATCTTTAAAAAAAAAAAGTCTCCACTGAGGTTGAACCAATTTACACATTTGTTACCAATATGACCCTTTTCCAAATTTTTTTAACACTTATTTCATCAAACTTTATATATTTCTATATATTTATTATTTATATATGTATATTATTTATAAATCTTTATGTTTCAGAGAGGGAAAAAGTGTTATCTAGATGTATTTCTTTGTTGAGAGTTTTAGTTGTGTTTTTAGTATGTTTATTTACCATTTATATTTAGTATTATGTCAACTGTTCATGTCCTTTATCCATTTTTCTTTGGGATTATTTGTGTTTCCTTATGGTTTTCAAGAGATCTTTGTACGGTAAGGAATATAGTCGTCCCTCCCCCCAGTCTGTCTTTTGACTTTCTTTATAATTTTTTTCCTTTGAGAAGTTTTAAATGTTCATGTATTCAAATTTACAAGTCTTTCCCCATTGGCTTCTAGGTGTTTTGTTTTGGCAGATTCAATTAAAAAGTAATTTAAAAGGTACCCATACTTACCTGTACTATTTTCATGGTTATTTTTACACTTGGTTTTGTTTCAGTAGGAATTTATTTCGAAGCAAGTAGTAGAGTAAAAATTTTAGTAGCCTAAAAGCATTGTCTTCACATTAATAAAATTTTCTTTCTCATTTACATATAATTCAAACTAGAAAATGACAAAGCTGGACTTCAAAAGGGCAATCCATGTTCAGAGCCCACGCTCTTAATTTTATTAATTATTCTTCAAGTGGACATGTGATCTAGTCCTTTTTGCTTTAAGTTCAATTTTGCATTAGGTTAGGGCCTTGGGGAGGAAGGAGATTCAATTTCTGACTTGCAAAATAAAACCAATATGGTTTCTTTCTTCTTTCACCTTAATTTTCCAATGTCATAAGAAATAGATCGAGGGACTTACTACAATATGAAGACAACTAAACTCAATTTAGTTAGGTTTAATGTTGTTTTCTTTAATATTAATTCTTATACTCCATGTTTGATAGTACCTAGTTATAAAAAAAATCAAAGATGCCTGTGGAACAAAAGCTGGAAATATTTTAAACTATGACTCCTGAGTCTTTCATTAGTTATTTATAAAATAGGACACAATTTGTTTTGGAAACTGTTGGTTGAAATATTAAAAGTTAGTTCACACTTTTTTTAAGTTTATTTATTCCTTTTAGTAATTCTACACCGAACATGGGGCTCACACTCACAACCTTAAGATCAAGAGTCACACGCTTTTCTGACTGAGCCAGCCCAGCACCCTTATTTCTCATTTTCTAAATCTTTGTTTCTTCAGGAAGGAAAACTCATAGTCCCAATTTAGTCAAATTTAAATTATTTTCCAAGTCAGTACTTAGAGAAGATTTAAAACGATGATAGTATGTTTCCATATCACATTTCATTAATACAACTCAAACTAAATATAGTGCCACAAAGTTGATAAAAATCTTAAATTCTTAGTGTTTCAGTAGCTCTGTATACAAAGTTTCATTATGCACGTTTAATTCTATTTTTAAAGAACACATTATTTTTTTCTAAAGATTTATTTAATTATTTTAGAAGGGGGAAGGGGCAGAGAGAGAGGCAGGAAGAGACTCCCAAGCAGACTCCCCCTCTGAGCACCAAGCCCAATGTGGGGGCTCGATCTCATGACCCCAAGATCATGACCCCCAGCTGAAATCAAGAGTCAGACACTTAACCAACTGAGCCACCCAGGCATCCCAAGAACACTTTCTTATTTCATTTATAATTTTTTAAAATTAGAAATGGTACTACTTATCATGGCAGAAAACTTGGAAAACCGAAAACAGGGAGAAAACTGATCATTCATAATGATACTGCCTTAAGATAACCATTGTTAATTTTTTGGTAGAAGTCTTTACAATGTATTTTCATGCAATATATGTATATATTTCCTGTACAAAATCGATTCCACAAATAGTATTTAACCATCTTTTTTTTATAGGTATGTTATAAACATTTTCTCATATCAGTAAATTTTACTCTAAAACTTCATCTCTAATGGCTGCAGAATACTCCATAGCATAGTGTTTAAAACATGATAATACTTTTTAATGTGAGAATCAAGTGATTTGCTCATTCCAAAAAATCCAAACAGTGCAAAAAATATAACAATTATAAAATTTATGTCAACCATAAGTCCACCTTCTGGAAATATACATTACTAATACACTATTTTAAATGTGATTATGCATGCTGTTTTGTGCCTTTCTTTTCCTTTAAAATTTTTTTTTACTTTTACTTTTTTCCAGTTTTATTGAGATATAATTGACATTCTTCCCTTTTAATAACAAACATCCTTTCAAGAACATGGAAATAGATTTACATCAAAATTTTAAACTTTGTATAATATTTCATTATGACTATAACAGGGTCATTGATGGAGGTTTTAGAAATGGAAAGGGGAAGGGTGCCTGGGTGGCTCAGTCGTTAAATGTCTGCCTTGGGTTCAGGTCATGATTCCACGGTCCTGGGATGGAGCCCCACATCTGGCTCCCTGCTCTGCGGGAAGCCTGCTTCTCCCTCTCCCACTCCCCCTGCTTGTGTTCCCTCTCTCCATCAAATAAATAAATAAAATCTTAAAAAAAAAAAAAAAAAAGAAATGGAAAGGGGAGGGAGTTCCTGGGTGGCTCAGTTGGTTAAGTGTCCAGCTCTTGATTTTGGCTCAGGTCATGATCTCAGGGTTGTGAGATTGAGCTGCCTGGGTTGGGGGGGGTGTCTGCGCTCAGCAGGGAGTTTGGGGGAGATCCTCTCTCTCCTGCTCCCTCTGCCCCTCCTCCTGCTGGCGCATGTTCTTTCTCTCTCTCCCATATAAATAAATCTTAAAAAAAAAAAAAAGGAAATGGAAGTGGGAAGACTTAAATTCTAGTCTGCTACTTAGAACTGTGCGATCCTAGATAAATCACTGGTTGCTGTGAATCTCAATTACTTAATGGAAATCATGAGGTCTACTTAGCAGTAGTAGTAAAGTTTTAGCAGGAACGGGTGGGGGTGGGGGCAAACTCAAATGTTTTTAGCATGCATGTCCTGAAGAGGACCAACTTTAATTCTTCAAAGTTCAGATAATATGGAATACTTTAGTTTGTGTCCAAATGGAATTTTTGTAGCCCTACCCAAAGTCACTCACATTGGGAAACAGAAGAAAACTACACTGAAGGCCAAAACAAGAAAGAAAGAAGGGAAGGAAGAAACAAAGATGAAAAAGAGAAAGAAAGGAGGAAGGAAAAACCCATGAAGCAAACTAGACCCTCATCCATTGCTGATGGAAACACAAATGGTGAAGCCACTTTGTTTTTTTCTTTTTTTTTAAAGATTTTATTTATTTATTTGACAGAGAGGCACAGCGAGAGAGGGAACACAAGTGGGGAGTGGGAGAGGGAGAAGCAAGCTTCCCACCGAGCAGGGAGCCTGACGTGGGACTTGATCCTAGGACCCTGGGACCATGACCCGAGCCTAAGGCAGACACTTAACGGACTAAGCCACTCAGGAGCCCGGTGCAGCCACTTTGGAAAAGAGTCTAGCAATTCCTCGGGAGATTAAGTGGAGTTATTACCATATCAAGACAGGGAAACTGAAGGACTCCATAAAAATCTGCTTTTTGCTCCTTTTTCCTGCTTCTCCACCCCACTTTACACATGCCTTGTAAATCGCATCTATCCTCCTTGTAAGGGACAAGGAGTAATGGTTCTCCAGAATAAATAACATCTAAAGAAGGACCAGGTGAGAATGACCAGGGAAGCTATCCTAATGCACATTCCAGACCACTGGAGCTAGACATCTGAATGCAAGACCCCCTGGTTCCAGGGAATGACACCTGGGCCCTTGTCTTTGTTCTAACTGGTTCCTGGATGCCTGAGAGGACCATACACCAGAACTCCGTCCTCAATAAAACCCCCCAGGCCCCGAAGAAAGATGAGACTCACTCCTTTCCTTTCTGAGTCTCCTGGACACTCACTCTGTTAATTGCTTTCTCTTTTTCTTCAATAGACTCTGCTTTCACCTCCTGCTGGCTCACATTTGATATCCATCCTGTATGAAGCCAAGGACGGCCAGCCTGCTGGCATCAATATGAGCCAGCAATTTCAATTCTAGGTATATACCTAAGAGAAATGAAACATACATCTATTAACTTGAACAGGAATCTTCATTGCAGCATTATTCCTAATAGCCAAAAAAGTGTAAACAACTCAAATGTCTATCAAAGGATGAATGAATTAATAGAATGTTATATATCCATGCAATGGTATATTTGACAATAAAAAGGAATGAGTAGTGATACATGCTTACAACATGGATGAATCTTGAAAACACTATGTTCACTGAAAGAACTGTCATAAAAGACCACATACTATATGATTTATTTCATGTATATGAAATGTCTGGATTAAGCAAATCTATAAAGTAGGTTAGTGATTACATAGCTCCTGGGGCTTGGGTGAAATGGGGGGACTGCCCACAGGTACAGGAATTCTTTTGGGACTGATGAAAATGTCTGAAATTGATTGTGGTGGCAATTGCACAACTCTGTTAATGTACTAAAACCCGTTGAATTGGACACTTTAAATGGATGAAATGCATGGTATATGAATTCTATCTCAATAAAGCTGTTGGAATAAAAAGCAAACTAGGGCATTGTAATTCTGAAAGATCATAATAAGATGGTATATAAAGTGTTGGACAGATGAAGCCCTTAATAAATGGTGGCCATAACTCATTGAGGGAATTTAGTTTGTTTACATTTTCCTCACCATAATCAACATTTTATAAAGATCATTTTGGGGGCGCCTGGGTGGCTCAGTCGTTAAAGCGTCTGCCTTTGGCTCTGGTCATGATCCCAGAATCCTGGGATCGAGCCCCGCAGGGAGCTCCCTGCTCTGCGGGGAAAGCCTGCTTGTGTTCCCTATGTCTCTCTCTGACCAAAAAAAAAAAAAAAAAAGGTAATTTTGTATATAGCAAAGCAATACCGAATACTGTTGCAGACTGTTTTCTTTCTGAACCTTTGGAGATGTAGATGTGCTGATGAGACGTTATGTACATTATTTTTAGGACCCCCTGTCCTCAGAAGGTCTGGGCCCATGGGCATTACTTTGTGAGTATGGAGTGCCAGCAAAGCATCCTTTTTAAAGTTTTTCTGTCAAAATGGTAATAAAACACACACATAAAATAGTCCTAGGATTTTTTCCAAAGGCTTTGCTTTGGGAAAAGGTTTTGGTAGTTAAAATAGATATTCAAACTATCTCCAACACAATGCTTGGTAGAAAGCCATGCAAGATGACTCTGCTTTGATCCGTTCTGTGGAAATTTGCATGCATTGCCGAGGGGGAAAACGTGGTGTCCTGCTCAGCACCAAGTTTCCCTACTTCTAACAATGGGTATTAACGTAAACTCTCATGCAAGTTGTAAACACGTCTGACTCAAAACTAACTTCAATACTTAGCCTGACTTTTAACTAGCTGAAATGTTGAACAGGTGGGGACAGGGATCCAGCGAACTGTGTGAGGAGGTGTGGGACTGTGCGTTTGAGTGAAGAGAAGGCCACCGATTTAAATAAAAAAGTGCGAGATTAAAGAATTTGGAAGACAAAGTATGTACAATTTTAGGCTCCCTCCCCCGCCCAAAGGTTGTGCCAGTGGGCAACTGGAGCCCCCAAACTTGGTCTTCCCTCGTGAGGAAGTTAGTTCAGGGCTACCAGCACTTGCAAGAAGTTTAGGGGCAGAATGCCCGAGCGCCGCGGTAAGCAGATGAGTGGGGCAGACGGCGGCCGGACAGTTCACGCCGGGGCGGCTGGAGGTACCCACCGGCCGGAGCAGGAAAAGCAGTGGGTACGGGAGGGCGGGGACGTAGGGGTGGGTCAGCAAAGGTCTGGCGATTGTGTCGGGAGGCGAACGGGGCGTTGGCAGCGGCGGGCGGAGCCCAGGACCAGTGATGTAAGGAGCGGAGGGATCCCACTGGGAGCGTCGGTTTTGCGCTGTGAGACCCCAGGGGTGTGGGGCGGGGGATCCCAGTCCCCGCCCTGTTTTCCCCGCCCCTCCCCCCGGTCGCCTTTACGCCCCTCCCCCTCCTCCCCTCTGGTTGGAAAGTTTCTAGAATCTCTTCCCAGCGGCCTTTGCGGTTCCAACATGGCGGAGCTGACGGTGGAGGTTCGCGGCTCTAACGGGGCTTTCTACAAGGTACTGACCCTCTTGCCGCTTTGTCGGGTGTACTGGGGGCTAAGGCCGGTTTGGGGGAGGGCTGGTGGTCCCGGAGAGTGAGGTTTGGAGTCGAAGAGGGCGGCCAGGCCGAAGCCCGGTGCTGCTGGGTTCCTCGCTTCTCCCCCCTCCACCCGCGGTTTAACGGTCTCGGGGGCCAGGGCTCCGTTATGTTTTGAAACAACACGTCGGACACCTCTTGCGTTTTCCTACTTATGAACCTTCTTCTTGGATGCTAGTGCGGCCCTTCGCGGGCCGGTGAGGAGAAGCCGAGTCTCTGCTGGGCCGCGGGGAGCTCCCTGGGAGCAGGCCTGAGCGCCGGGAGGTTGGGGAGTCGTGAAAGGAGGTGGTGGGATTGTGTGGTCACAGCCGCTCCCCCGCCCCTCGGACTGGGCCGAGCGGGAGCGCCTCGGCCCGCTGCTCCGACCCCTCCCCACCCCTTTGGGGGGGGGCTGCGTCGCGGAATCTTAAGAATTCACCTTTGTATTAGGGTCTCGGGATAATAAACTTTAGTGTCTGACGGGGAAGCGGGTGCCAAATTGAGGGTTAGGATCGAAGAGAAAACTGGAAAACCTTGTAATGTGGCGGGTTGAAATATTTTTGCGGCCTGGGAAATTGGGCGGCGCCTTAGCCCCTTTATTACGGAAGAAAAGGCTAGAGTTGGAGGCTTTAAAGTAAGATTGAAAAAACGAAGTCGATCAGGGAGACTGGTGGGGAGGTGAGTAATTTCTTAAATCTTAGTTATCCAGTGTTTCTGGGAAGAACTGTTGATTTTTGTTTCTTCCCCACGAGGTTTTTTGTTTGTTTGCACCGGGAGATGCATTATTATGGGATGGGGACTGGAAAACAGAGGAGGAATTCGAGAGTAGAGGAATTTAGTGGGGGCTTCCAGTGTAGGGGTCACATAACTGAAAATGAAATTCTTACAGTTTAGTTTTGCCATTATAACGGCCACTTGTCCCGATTCTTTCTCCAAAAGTATACCACGATATTACAAGATCAATACAAAATCTCCCCAGCTGTGTCTGTCAGTCAGTCTTACTAAGCCAGGATCTCAAATGTTTGAGAGTCCTGTCTATTTTTATGAAGGGCCTTCTCTTAATACAGGAGTATTGGGTGTACGCAGAATATATTCTCCCTGGGTTTCATTTCAGCGTACCTTTTGTCCCACGGGGTGGTCGTAATTTCCTTTGGTTAGCGTTGTTTTCCCTTTTGTAGTTTACTGATAAGCTATGTGGATTTGGTTTAACTGTCACGTGGTAATCTGGTAGGGAATCACTTGGCGTCTAAAGGATCTCTCTAAGCTTTTTACAAGTTTAAGTCACCTTAGGTGGTCAACAAAAAGTAAAAACAGTGACTGCCCGGTGGAAAGGAGTCTTTGCTTGACTCCATATATATATATTAGCAGTTTAGATTTAACATTTGGCGTCAAACAAAAGATCTAAGTGAAATTTGAGTAGATATTTCATTGGCTTCTGTTATTGAAACCTAGTGGTTGCCTTCTCTTACCCCAGATACAGTTGTGGCATAATGCACAAAGAAGGGCTTGCCATACTTTTCCTGTCAAGGGTAGGTAAGGTTCATCATTTTTGCACACCGCCGGTGGAAAAGTTTCATATTCCCACTGTATGGTGATACAGTTGTTGTGTAACGGAGGTATGCTTTTTTTTCCCCCTGGCAAATTGAAAAAGTAAAATTTTTTTGCCTTTGTAGCATGTGGATGGTAGATAGGACATGCCTTTTTTAGCCAAGTATTTGTGTTGATCGCTATAGAAAATACTTATTTCTTATTTTTATTTTATAAGATTATTTAAGGTTATCAGTTTGAAAGTTTAAGATTGTTTACAGTTTTTTTTTTAAGATTTTATTTATTTTGAGAGTGAGAGAGCATGAGCAGGGGCAGAGGGAGAGAGGGAGAAGCAGAGTCCCTGCTGAGCAGGGAGGCCGGCGTGGGGCTCCATCCGAGGACCCTGGGATCTTGACCTGAGCTGAAGGCAGACGCTTAACCGACTGAGCCACCCAGGCGCCTCTGTAGTGTTTGGTTTTTCAGTTTTTTAAAAATCAAATTCACAGTGATTGTCCCCATTTTGGAACTCTGAAGTATTGTTGATCCTTATCCTTACTCTACAAATCTGCTTGGTTCTACTTAGACGTTGAGTCCATTACTCATTTTTACTTCACAAAGGAAGGTGGTACTTTGGCAAAGGTTGGGAAGGATCCTAGCCACATTGTGTGTACTAAAATAATTGCACTTGAACGTTTGGAATTTTATGTTTTCGTAATCCACTTGTACATTGTGGAAACTGGGGTCTTCAAAACTCTGAAAGATCGAGAATGGTGAGGTGGGAGGAGACCTGGATTTGAAGTTAGATAATGGTAAACTGAAAGTACAGACCTAGAATTCCCATGTGTTTACCCATCCGTGCACTCCTGAGCATATCTTTTCTGTAAAATGAAGGGTTTGAAGTAGTTAATATCCCCAGGTTTTTAATCCCACGGAACTGCTCACTTGGAAAAAAAATTGGTTTACTGAACAAGCAATTTATTATTTTAACTACACGAACTGTTTTGAATTAATTTGCATGTGGTAAAATTCACCTTTCTGGTACATAATTACGTGAGCTTTCGTAAATGTCCTGTAGCAACCACCAACACGATGGAGATAGAAGAGTTCCACTGTCCCCCAAATTTCTCTCATGCGCCTTTGTAGTCACCTTCTCTTTTCACCCCCAGATCCTAGAGGGTTTTCCTGTCCCCATAGTTTCACCTTTGCCAGAATGTCCTCTATGTAGATTCATACAGTATGCTGAGGGTTTTGATTCTGGCTTCTTTCATTTAGCATAGCAGCAATTTAATTTTAAGTACAATTTTCTAATTTAAAAACAATATTGGTCAGTGAGGGCATTTTGGAAACAAAAGTTGCCTTTGGATAACAGCTGTTAACATTTTGGTTTATTCTCTCCCTGGTGTTTTTTTTTCGTTGTGCAGGTGATTCTGATTTTCCTCATTTTCTTCCCTTCCCCCCCCACACACAGCTGTAAATGCTAATCGCAGTACAATTTCAGTCATGGGTTTAGTAGCCAGTATCATCATGCCTTGAGGCAGTGCTCTGTAGACATTAAAGATTTTCTGGTGGAACTGAAACTTCATCTTACAAATTAATTGGAACCAGTGAAAAGCTAAAAGAAGATGTGACCTAAAATTAAGATCTTGTTTTTTTAAATACTGTTTTGCATCTTGCTTTTTTTTTAAACAATGTATCTGTAGTTTGTTAAGGAGGTAAAAACTTGATATGCTTCTCTTTGCAGCTCTGTAAATCTTTGGGGATTGGGAAGAGTGGGAGATATGTTAAGTACCTGATAGGGGATATAATTTTATATAAAAATTTGTTTATAGCCTTTTTTACCTAGAGTGAGGCATCTTAGGGTTTATACTACTGGCCATTGAAGGTGCTTTTATTTAAGATAGAATTTACATTTTATGTTTGTTAGTGTATTTATAGAGTTGTGCAACCATTATCACAACCTTACTTTAGAACATTTCAATTAGCCCCCAAAAACCCCTCTGTCCATTTGGAGTCTTTAAAATGCTTAACAACTGATGTATGTGATACTGTGCTTTGTAATAGCATTGCAACTTGCATAGCCGTGGGCAGAATATAATTTAAATAGAAGTTGAAAGTAAGTCCCTCGATTTCTGGCTGATGTAAAGGAAAGTTTCCATGGTGTTCCAAGGAAATGTGTAATCTCTAAGATGGCTGAGTGAAATTTCAGGCCTTCTCTAGAAGACAATTACTTTTGGAGTTCTGCAGTTTCAGCTTTAACTGACTACAAATTTTAAAGCACTACAATATTTCCAAAATTTCCTATTATTTACCTTAACTTCATATTAAAATGGAATTTGAGTGTAAATTATGCAGTAGGTTTATTAACATTAATGATGATGACCTATCGAATTTTAGTAGAGTTTCTTGAGAGTACTGACTTTTCAAAGTTAGCATTGAATATTGATTTCTTTGTGCAGATTAGTAATTAAGAAAAAGATAGTGGTTGTCTTAATACTAGGGACACTGTTAAAAACACGTTTCAGATATTTTAAAGATAATTCTCAGTTGTACTTTTTTTGTTGAAATATTTTTTTAGCGAAAGATTTTACTTAATACTGTACATATGGGGAGTCCACACACGGAAATTCCAAAGATCGCCCTAATCATGCAGATTTTAAAATGTGTTTTTATAAAAACATAAAAGAACTAAGATTTAACTGAAAAGGTCATTGAATTTTTAAAAATTAAACTTTTTTGTAAAGTTTTGTTTTTGTATTATAAAAGCAATATGTAAGTATGAAAAAATCTGAAAACAGAAAAGCAACAAAAAAATTTTACCTACCGAGAGATATATTGTCAAGGCCTGGCTTTATGTATGTACAGAAAACATACTTTATCCCATATTTTCACGCTCCTTTGTTTCTTGTAACATCAGATATTTGTGTGCATTTTGTAAGAATAGTTTGCTGTGTCTCTTATTTACTAGATAGCCTATGAAGCTTATACTAATGTTTTCTGATTTTGTTCGTTCAAAAACTCCATTAGATACTTTTTTTTTTAAAGATTTTATTTATTTGACAAGGAACACAAGCAGGGGGAGTGGGAGAGGGAGAAGCAGGCTTCCCGCAGAGCAGGGAAGTTTTACATACTAGGAAACTGACAATAACAAGTAACTTGTCCATAAATAAACTAGCTGAAATGAGATTTCACTCTAGGGCTTCTCACTTCCAATGCCTAATTTAGTATAGCATTAGACGTTCTTCAAAGGAAATCTCAGAGTAGTGGGCTTATACTTAAGTATTTTAGTTAGACAAGGCAGGGTGCCTGGGTGGCTCAGTCTGTTAAATGCCTTTGGCTCAGGTCATGATCTCAGGGTCCTGGGATCCAGCCCCTTGTCAGGCTCCCTTCTCAGTGGGGAGCCTGCTTCTCCCTCTCCCTCTCTCTCTGTCCCTCCCTGCTGCTTGTTCTCTATCTCAAATAAATAAAATCTTAAAAAAACCAGGCAAGGCAAACACTTGATAATTCAAGAAGCGAGTTCTCTACCACAATGTTAAGGATGTAGTAAACTAGTTTTTTTTTTTTAAGTTTTATTTATTTTTAGTAATCTCTGCACTCAGCATGGGGCTCAAACGCATGACCCTCAGGTCAAGAGTTGCATGTTCTTCTGACTGAGCCAGCCAGGTACCCCAAACTAGCTTGCCTTTTTTTTTTTTTTTTTTTTAAGATTT